AGCGGCAAATCAAATCATGGCCTAACCTCCGGGGAGGTGGGATACTCCCGTCAAGAGTCGCTGATTCAATTAGCGCCCGAAATAGTTATCGAAATGGATATGGGAGTTGATGGGGATGTGGCTGTAGCCTTGGCTGTGAATGTGCACAGAAGTGGCATTGGAACTGATGCCAGTTGCCAGTTCCCAGCTGGCTTGGCCGTGTAATTGCTTATAATGTGCGCATAAATCGGTTCCGATTCGGGGATTCAAGGGGGGAGAAAAGAGCAGGGCCTGGCAGAGTGGTAGCTGTTTTCGTGGGCCGTTGTCTGCGGCTGAGTCTGTGCCGCCACAGATGCACAACGCACCACTGACACGCAACTTTTCCCCTTTCTAGTCATGACACTAATCAACAAGAACGGGGTTTAAGTTTAACCCCAGATTCGTACTCTGGCTTCCATTTCTAATTAATTTTTGTACCAATAGATTACTGTTTTATTAAATAAAATTATTTAATTAATTTAGTGACAAAGTTAAACTATCTTTCCGTTCATTGGCACCAAAAAATTCTGACGTATTAATATTAAAAGGCAACCTAAATATTAAATTAATAATAATTTTAATATAAGTTCTATTACATAAATCCCATTGGATGTTGCAAAGTGTAATAAGCAGCAGCGTTGGCGGAATATACAAATTCTAAAATGCATGCAAATGCTTTGCCACTGCTAATAATGGGCATTATCATGATGTTGATGCTGCTCAACCGCCTGCCCCCGACCTCTCCCCCCAAGCCCTTCCCTTAACCCCACTTAACCCTTCCTAGCTCCCTACCATCCCTTCCACACTCCGTTTGATGATGATGATGATGATGATGATGGAGCGAGCTCCGACTGGGTAACTCGATAACGATTCCAGCCAGGCAACCACTTCATTGGCGGTTCCGGAGGGTGGCAACTGGAAAAGGGGGGGGCAAAACAGACTGACGCTTAGTTTTGCCAACCCCACTCATCCCACACTTCCCCCCTCGCGCTCCATGGAGACTTTGTGTGACTCTGACATGCATTTCTCATGATGCGAAAATTTTGTTTCACTTGACATTTTGACATTTGACAGCTGGCGCAAAATTAACGCAGCTCGCGGGGGGAATGGGTGGTGCTAAAAATGCAATAACATTTAAAAGGGATGGAAAGAAAGTCACGAAATGTATCCCCCCCCACCCCTTCCTTTTTTTGTACGGGACCAACTGGCATTTTCCCACAAATTTATCATGTTCGACAAGTGGCTATGGGGTTAAGCGGATGACGCTGGGTGGTTTTGGGTGGCAGGGTGGAGTTGCTTGCGTGTTAAATGCTGCCAAGATGCATGGCGATGATGACTTAATTGAATGGCAGCCCGCAAGCGGAGTAATCCCCTATGGATAGGCTAAAAGGAAAAAGGAAGAGGAAAGCAGATAAGGAGCGAGATTTGGATGATGAGTTGGCAAATTTGAATTTGTCGGAATTAGATGTCTGAGTATGTAAATATGTGGGTGAAAAGCGCATACCCGGAGCACTCTACCTTTACGTATCAAGAAAATGGTCCTACAACTTATGAGCATTTAAGCAATGATTGAGTTAGAGCAATCTTGGCCATTAGATGAATATAATAATAATAAAAGATTTCTTTAATATAACATTTTAGTTATGGAAGTGGAATCAAATTTGTATAAAATTATTTAAATTTATTTCGTATATACACTTTATAAATTCTTTTACGAATTTAGCATTGCCATTTCCATCTCTTGCAGTGACGCTAAAATGTAGGCAACATTTTTATGTTCCTCTTGCCCTCGGGATCTCCAATTTGATTTAATCTTTTGATACCCAAGACTTCTGACATCGACCAACTCCTGAAGGCCTTAGACCCCCAAATGTGCATTACGATGCCCTCGGTCCACCGACAATAAATCCTTCTTCATCTCCATCTTCAACGGGTTATTGTTGATGCTTTTGTTGCTTCTGCAGGGACTGTTGTTATTGTCTTTTGTTGTGCGGTTGATGGAACACGATGTCAGAGTGTCTGACTCTGTCTCTGTCTCTGTCCCTGTCTTACGTGCTGCCTTCCCTCCCTTTCTGTTATACACATGTCAGCTGCAGATATATCCATTCATTGTTGTCGGCGCCTTTCTCCTGTTTCAAGCCAGAAGGGAGAAATGGGAGGACAAGGAATCCAATGCGGCCTGATTTTGACACCCAGCTACTGGGAATTTTTGTTCAGAATTAGAAGTCGAGAAAATGAGTTTTGTTCTTCCAATCAGCTTTTTATTCCATGGAGAGAGCCTGATGACAAACAGTTGAGATGTGTTCAAAACAGAAAGATTTCCTTAAGCTTTGGACTTATTTTCTCCACTCATTTCTATTGAGTTCCCTTAGTTTTTCAAAATGCTGAACTTACAAGGTAATTAGCTTCTACTTCTCTTTGATCTTTAAAGTATAAGAAGAAATTTTACGTCTACTCTACTCTATTTCACGCTCGATTAAATTCCTCATGCTAAGGTCATAAATTCTATTTCCAACAATTGTTTTTTAAAGGATCTCTAACGAAACCTGAAAATTTAATTTGCCCCAAAAATTGATAATTTATTTAGAGCAAATTTGCACTTTGTCATTTATCCCTTTTCCCAGATTTATGTTTACCAACTGTCACATGTATAGTCTTTAAGGAAAAATAAGGGCTGAATGGCAAATGCAAAACTTTTCCCATTTCATAGTTGCTTTGCCTGTCACATAAAATACCATGGAAATGTGCATACAATATCGAAAAATGCAGGACTGGCAGCAGATAAAGCAATGTGAAATACGAACAACAACGACAATTGACCCACAATTTTAAGGCCAAAACAATTCTCAGTTTTGGCCTTGTTTTCTCAGACTTCTTTATGAGAGATTGGGCCAAACAGTCGACTGGGTTGAGCTTAGTTAAGTTTTATCTTGACAAGCAGCACAATGGGGGCGGAGAAAAGGGTAAAGAGAAAGGTTAACAAGATGGACAAATAGAAGATTGAACAGGACAAGAAACTGCTGTGGAAGAAGACTTCAATTTGATGCTATAGAAACGCCCTTTTGGACTGTGTGTTTTTTTGTCCATATTGTCTCTAAACCTTTTTCTTTTCATTTATGTTTATCCTATTTCCTTACTTTTTCTGTTTTACAAATATTTTTAGTGTTGTATCCGACAAATTCCTGTAAGCAAGATAAATATGGATTCTGGTTGGTGGAAATCTATTGAAATATTATCATATTTGATTACAAATTTAAATATTTGGGATACGATTTTTAAGTTTAACATTTTTTTTAAGCGCTTTTACTTTTAACAACAAAATTGAAAAGAATTTAATTTAAGTTTAAACCAATTCATAACTAACGAAAAAATAATATAATAATATACTTAGGTTCTCTTTTTAAAGCCGTTGAAATAAACTCAAATAATGAAGCAATAGATTAGATCATTGTGTTTGTCCGCATTCTTCTCCAGCACTACGCTGTATTTGCATTAATATTTGCATAAATGAAGCTTTCACAAGCGATCCAAGCAGCGCCAAACAAATTGCTAAAAGTTCTCCCATGGCGGAAGAAAAGATGGCAGACAAAAAAAAAAGCAGGAGCAACACAGTAGGCAAAGGAGCCTGGGGCCTGGAGGAAAGCATTCCAATTGAAAGTCAAAACAAACGAGCTGCTCTTGGGGCCACGCCTCCTCACTAGACGCCCCCGCTCCTGACGTTGTCTTTTCTGCTCATAAACTTTTTGGCTTTCGGCACGTTTTGCCATTATCCATATGCCGCCGTACCCTCCAACCCCTCCCTTTCCCGAGTATGCTTTGCATATGTGCAGTCGCAACCGGAAACGGAAATGAAGCACAAAAGTTCAGTTATGCTCGGCATACGTTCCGACTCCTGGCAGCCATAATAGTTAACTACACATTTGTTGGCCCTGCTATAGTCAACCCCCGATCCCCCTTTGCCCGCTCACCAGCTATTGTTTAAAGTGATTTTATGAGCCCCGAGTCCGAATCCTGCTGACCATGATTTACTTAACCCGACGAGGGGCAAAAAATAAAATAAAAGCCGAGAGCTCATAATTCATGGCCGGCACTAATTGTCCATCTGTCTGGCTGCCAGTGTAAAGCCATAATTAAATGCAGACAGGAAGGAGGACTAGGCGTGGGATTGTCTGCTGGTGAACTTGGAGTTTTATTTTGTTTGCTGTTAGTCAGAAATTGAGCACCAGACCTGAGAACTGTTGATGAAAGCAGCTTTAAATTAAGTGCTCAGTCGAGTTGACGGGCATATTGCGCATACGTCATGTGGCCCACAGACAATGGAAACTGCTCGGGGGCCCAGTTTGTGCTTAGTCGCCTGCCTTTTGACCAACCCAAGCTTGTCACTGCTGCAGTTGAAGGGATTGCCCAGAGATTTATGCACTCAAAGCGTTGGAGGTACTCGAGGTGGTCATCAGAATGTGACAAAGCCATTGGACCATCTATCGAGGATATAATTAAGCGCCTTGACAAGTGCCTGCCGAGAGTGGGAACTAGTCAAATTGGCACCACCAAAATAGAAAATTTGTTTAATTTCACTTAATGATGGCAGGCTTTAGACAATGTAAAACAAGGTGCACAAAAACAAGCATTTGAACTAAATTCTTTTTAATGATTAATTTGATTTTCATAGAATTTGGGCTTGAATCAAAAAGAAAAACTAAATGTTTTTTAATGCGCTTTAATTAAATTAAATGTGATTTAGTTGACATTTTTGTTTTTATTAATAATTCCATTTTATAATGCTTTATTTTTACTGCCCTTATTGCCCAATATATAATCAGAAATTTTTGTTAATTTTAAACGCAAATTTTAGCCATAACATACATTTTGTTGTAAAACTGCCAACAGAATGAACATTACCACATTTTTTTAATCCTTTAAAACTATTACCCTCTGTTCGTCATAACCCGATAATAAACTTTTCTCTATTATTTCCATTGCAGAACTTTTGGCGCCTAAGTGAATTCCAAACAAATCAGTGCAGCCAGCAAATAAATAAATCATTTGAGGTAAGTTTGAAATGCAGCGCGAAAACAAAACTAAGTTAAAAACAGAGGGCGCAACAAAAAGCGAAAACTGCAAACAGAAAGTCATTTGCAGTGCTTACCCTCGCCACATCCGCAATTTCAATTACACAACTTTTCGGTGAGCGTGGAGCATTTGCTCATTAAACCAAAGGCAATCCCCGTCTGGCTATGCATTGCCTCTTCATCTTGGCGTGGGAAGCAAACACAAATGTGGAAAACTCTTACTAAAGGCCATGCCAGACTTAATGGTTTAATTAAACGGGATTTTAACTAAAGGGGCATAGGGTAAGGCTTAAGAAAAGGGCAATAGTGGTGGGACAAGACGGCATCAGAGGGGATTTCATAACAAACATGGCACTCCAACTTTTGTCAGTCTCCAAGCAGTGTGAAACTCAAGAGATCTCGAAGATGCTCATACGCCGCGTTGCCTTCGGCACTACCAAAAAAGATGGAGCATTGCAACGAGTAGCAGCAGATGTTTGCCTAACCATCCTCATAGTTCAAAAGGGGGGAATCCACCTACCATTTCGCCCTTTTCGAACCCCCAGAGGATTCTCATCAAAACGAGAGCGAAATGCAATTCAAGCAATTTTCAATTTTCATTTTTAAAGCCAGAGATAAACCGCTCAACAAGAACCTATATATACGTACACCGAAAATATTAATATTACTTAAAGGTTTTAGTTATATTGCATTGTAATTTTGATTGCTTTAGACCATTGCAGGGGTGGTCTAATTTTGGTCAAAACGGGACTCTTAACCAATTTGGAATTATTATTTTAACAAAAATATTAATGTGGAAACTCATTTCTGACCTTTAGCAAATAATGATTATTAGACGAAAAAATATTTATAAGACAATACTGCATTTTTAAACAAATAAAATATATTGTTTTATACATTCTTCAATGTTTCAGAAAAACGGGATCAGAATTGCATTTTTAATTTAAACTATGTCTTTCATAAAATTTTTTCCGCTGTACATGTATCTATGGATATAGATTCCCTTATAGCTCCTGCAAACTTGTCGCGCTCGAAAATTCCCATCATTCCTGCTGGTCTAAGGCCAATTTCTCGATTCGCCATCCTTGCGCGTTTGGCAAATTGCAGTCGAGCGTTAGGCCATGACACGCCCCCTTTCCTCGCCGATTCCCTCGAGGCTTAAGCAAAACGTTAAAATCGAGAGGAAGAAAATGCGAAAAACTTGGGCTAAAGATTCTTTTTGCCTCTTGCCACTTTCAACTTATCCTTCCATCCGCCTCCTTTTCCATTTGGCCTTGCCTGCTTTGCTAACTTTCGCTGTTGTTGAGCACAAAATGAAGGAATTAATGTTAGATTTTATGGATTCTCTGCGCTGCTTTTCGCTTCTTTTGAAATGGCTTCGGGTTTCGCTTTCTGTTTATTTTTCTGTGTCTTCTTTAATGTTTTTATTATCCGTTTTTTTCTCGGGGCGAAAAGTGAATCGCGAAGAGTATTTAAGGCTGCGGCAAATGAAGCCGAGTTAACAACTAGCAATGGGATTTCGTGCTCTCGTTAAGTGCATTTGAAAACGGTAAGCTACTCCGGTTAATCTTCACTGCTATTTTATTCCCCAATGCTCTTTGGACTTGATCCCCTTGATGTAGCTTAAGCTTCAAAGAGTTCCTAGAAATGCTGAAAGGGTTAAAAAAACGAGGAAAAGGGATTTGTTCTTTTATAATCTGAATCCGTTTTAAATTGTACACATTAATTCTATTTAATTAATGAGTAATATATTCATTACACGCGACAATATTAAAGGTTCCTTCCACTGTACTTAAAATTTTAGTTGCTTAAAGTTTATTATTTTGTCCTTCATAAACAATACAATTTTTATAATTGTTTGTCATATACCTATATGATTAAGAACTTTTTATTATGCAAGCAATGGCTAATATATGGTAACCAAAGTCCACATCAACCGAAATAAAACTACAATTTATTTAAATACTTTAATTTAATTTACAATTTCCACACATATTTTTTTGCGCTCAATTTACGTCATTCTCACAGTACCATTTCCCACAAATGGAAATTCCCGGCAAAAAAATAGTTTGCTTGGCAAACGATTAATATCTGACCCCGGCAACAAAACTGACAAATTCTCACAATTAGGATAGCCAGACGAGGCTCCTTTTCCCTTTTTACCCTGCTGTGCAACGTTTGCAAATATTTGCGCGCAATTTTTCATATTAAACGACAGGCGCAGGGGGCGGGGGTGTAGCAGGCGGTGGCGGAAATAAAAATTGCAGGCGGGGCTACAAAAAGTTTGGCCAACTGTGATCAATCTTCATGGCAGCAGAAGCGGAATGGAGCCCAAAATCTGAAATGAGGCGGCGGAGGCAAAGGCAGTTGCAACACATTTTGGAGGTCCTCTGGCTCTGCTCAGCCTGCCATGTCCTGTCAGGGATGAGGAGTAGAAAAAGGAAATAGCGAAGAGGAAGATGAAGATAGAGATGGAGATGGAGAGAGGAGAAGCAAACCAGCAACAGGAAAAGCAACCTTCGACCATTGGCCCCAAAACCGGGAAATTGCAACATATTTGCAATTGTCGTTAGGACGCCCCAAAAGGACGAAAGAGGGAAAATACTCGCAGTTTAAAGGAGGCAAGAACGGAGAGGGAAGAGGAGACAGCCGGGCAATTGCCCAAACGAATGAAGATGAAGTGAACCGGGTTTGGCCGGCACTTGAACTGCCTGCCAGCACTCCGGGTCCAAGATTGATTGGCCTCCAGTTGAAGTCGAGTCGGAAGGGGTGAAAAAGTGTCACTTCGCGCTCGCCCTTCACTGTCCTCGGGCCACTTTTGGTCCTTTTTGCCCTGAAATTAGTTGGCCTGTCAAAAACTTAACGAGGCCAACGGGTGACCAACGATGAAGACGATGATGGCGCAGGCCAAGTCCCTTAAGGGGATAGTGCAAACAAAGTGCAACAATAGTGGAAAGGGAAAAGTGTTTGAAAATGAAAAAGAGGAAAAAGCGAAGTTTCAAGTCCAGAAAACTCATAAAGCTAGTGCCCAACCTATTAAAAGAGTCATGCCCAGATTATTTACATCGCTGAACAGAGCTAACATAATTAAGCATTATTAACATTTAATAATATTGATAATTCTACAAGAATTTGAATATATATTGTGATTAAATAAAATCTTGTATTAAAGTTATTTGAATACCTAAATATGATATTTTTGTTCTCCATACATTTTGGGGTTTCTTTAAAGTGCCGATTTATTTCCATTTCCATTCCATTTAACACTTTCCCACTTTCTTTACCGTTGCAGGCAAATATTTTACGTTTGTTTTTGCCGACACTTATTGTTGTTTTGTGAAGCTGTTGCTGGTTTGTTTTGCAATAAACACTTCTTGCTCCTTTCATCTGAGCAACTGCCCTGCCCATTGACATTACCATTACATTTGGCCTGCCCTTTTCCGACCCCCAACCTCCGACCTCTCCAGCGTCCTTCAACGCTTGCCAAATGACTTTGGAATAGTTTCTCTCATTTCTTTATGGTCTCAACCGTTCCTCCACTGCGGTTGTATACGTTGTTGCTAACCTCTGGCCTTTGCAGTCATTTGTAATACTCTGGGTTATTGCGATTGTGCTGTGCTTTGTTACTTATCTGCTCTTCAGGTACTTTGCTGCGTTTTTGCTTTTGCTACCTTCTCATTTCACTGGCTCGGTTTTGTCGCTTATCTGCTTTCTTTTATTACTATTACTTTTTTTGATCTGCCCTTTATCTGAGCCTCTTGCTTTGATGTTGTAGAGCTCTTATGAGTTTCCTTTGACCTTCTTGCAAATTAACATCCAAAAAGTCGGCTTTTCTATTGGGCTTGGAAAAGTCTAATGGAGGTAGTTTAAATCTTTTAGGATGGCAAACGTTTAAAGAAGTTGTAACACTTAAAGTCTTTCATGGGCATTAATTTTAGCCCAACCTCAATCTCCCTTTAGTTTTATCAGCATTTTTAACATTTCGTTTACTGAAAAACTACAAAAACGTTAAAAATTAATTTGCATAATTAAAAGGCGATGTGGCCATAAAAACGCTTGTTTATTATTCAATAAAATGCAGTCTTTTTTCTGTTTGTAGGAAATGTATCATAGAAAATATAGATAAAGCATGGTGGATTTTCCGGAAAATCGCTGTGTTTGCCATCTAACCACAGTGAAGCCACGAGCAGTGCAAGTAAACATCGTCGTTAATATTCTGCATACGCAATGTTGGTCATATTCCACATACGCACTGTCTGACGGGGTGCTTGTGCTTGTGTTGATTTTGCCGCAACAATGCACCGGCCTTTTGCCTGTTTGTTGAGTCTGCTTCGTGGCTGTGAGCTAAATTACCTTGTCGCTGTGGCTTGGGTACCTGTGTTTTTCTATACGGTTCCGGTACTCTTAGCGCTGGCGGGTATTTTCCATCAGTGGAAAACCTTAACCAGGAGATAAAGCTTTTCCATCACTAAACAGAATGTTTAGGAAAGTAATCAACAACTAGGACCTCTGGAATTGATAAAGCACTGATGTTTGCTTTAAATCATTTGGCTCCGCTATTCGCAATAAACTTTCATTGAACTTTTTATGGGTCGGATCATAATCCGACATTTTTATACCCTTGCAGAGGGTATTTTAATTTCAGTCAAAAGTTTGCAACGCAGTGAAGGAGACATTTCCGACTCTATAAAGTATATATATTCTTGATCAGGATCACCAGGAGAGTCGATCTAGCTATGCCCGCCTGTCCGTTCGTCTGTCCGTTTCTACGCAAACTAGGCTATAACTTTGGTGTTTTTTGAGTTAGGAAGATTGGAAATGCCTAACTTTGGTGTTTGTAAAGTCAACGCTAAAATGAAAATTTTGAATGCAGATTTTTAGAGAATCCAACCACAAGTCTTTAGAGGTATGCCTCTTTGAAATCGGATTATATTTGGTAAAGTTATGGAATCTAAGAGTCCAATTTTGGGTAACTCATC